CTCTTTCTCGCTCTTTCTCGCTCTCACGCGAGACGAAGGGGGAGGCACCAGATAGGTGCATACACCGACGGTAGAACGGCACCGCGGTGCCCCGTGGCGAGGACTGAATAACTCATAATTGGGCCTCCTGGCCCACTGCCATTCACGCCTCCGTCGCGCTACAAAGACGTCTCGTGAAGGAGCAAAACTCCCGTAAGGCTCCGCATTTGCGTTTCACTCGTTCGACTCGTATCCGTCCCTTACTCCCTCGGGGAGTAATCGATGATCGTCCAAGTCATGCTGAAGAGTAATTTTATCTTATCGTCTACAAAGTGAAATCTGGTTAAGTATTATTAGGGGATGATCAACTACTATTTATAGTGAAGTAATGTCATGAAGTAATTGATTACCGTATAATCAGAAGGATCACAATGTTCTTGACTGAAAACGAGATATGTTCGTATGTAAATGTATATTTACTAACGCTATTATATATTCATATGTGAGGAAAGTAGTTATGTTTATATGTATACTGTCATAAGAAGATTGCGTGCTTGCAGGCAATTTTCTTTTTTGAAAGGAACAAACGCAGATATTTTTCAAGTGCATATTTTGAAAAAGAGCAAAATACAGATGCAGTCACATTACACAAGCCGGATTAATTTTTTATTTATTACATCACGCATTCATCAAAGATATCATATTATGACAAAATGTAAAATTATTGTAATAAAACTTTTTTTTTATTACTTGCATATTAAATCTGGAGACACACACACACACACACACACACACACGGTAGTGCTCAGCGCTAAGAATGACATTAATATTTACTGTGACCTTTGTGTAAGATTCGATTGATTTTGGAGATCGGTAGGTTAGTGATCCTCGTGAACGTCATCTTCTTCGTCCTCATACTCTATTTCAATATAATTCGGCAATTCATCACCATGAATAAAATCTTCGCCATTCGCAGAACAGTTCTGAACTATTTTATCATCGTTCATAGCTCGTCCGATAGCAAAATCATCCTGATAATCCAGTTTCACAGTAGAGAACGATCGATCAAACATTACATTGAACAGTCCGACATCCCTATAATTACGTTGTATGAAATAACTCGTTGTTGCAGCAATAAATGATCATCGATCGCAAGTGTATAGTTACGATAAAACGGGTAATGTGAATAATCCCGATAACATAAATTACAAAAAAAAAAATCAGAGAAATTACTAATCAGAATAAAAAATATTGGGATGAACATAGAATTTTTTAAGAATATTATTCTTTCTGAATTATTTAGTCCTCAAATTTTGAAAACGCATTTGCCGACAGAAATAAAATCCAAGCGAGAGAACTAACTTGGCAATAATTGGAATCGTGCCATTAATAATCCTAGATTGAATGTTGAACCACTTAAACACGGCGTCCGTAGAAATGATTGATTCGTTACGTGTGCTTACAAACTTTTCGATATCCTTTTCTTGTTTTTTACATGAATTGATTATGCGATCCAAACCCGTCGGCTTTTCTGAGGAAACCATTTTGATTTTATCGCCTTTTTTCTCTTTTTTGAAGCCCTTCTTGCATTCATCTATCTCTTTATACTCGCGATCAATCTGTTCCTTCATCAATTGTTCCATAGACTTTTCATCTGCAATGAACAATTAAAGGAATTTATTACAACAAGAATTTAGTATAGTTGCTCCTCTTTCATGAATCATAATATAAAGAAAAAATTAAAAAGTCTATAATTCTTTCATAGAATTTACCTTTTACAGGTGATGGAGGTGCTTTCACTGGTTCTTTTTTAAGTTTCTTGTCTACAACAAAAAAATAAAAATTAATTAAAAATTTAGCAAAATTGAAGAATTGCTATAAATTATAATACAAAGAAAAAATTAAAGAGATTTTGAGACCTTTATACATACTTTTAATTCTTTGGAATGGAATCTCATTCTAAGAATGAAAATTGAGCCACTCTTGAAAAAGAATGACTCAATTTTTAATCTTTAAAAGTGAGATGTCACTCTTCAGAATGACATTTCATTCTAAAAGTTTTAAAATATATAATGTTTTAAGGTTAACAGGATGTTTTAAGATATTAGAGACAAACTTTAGAGAATAGTAAAGTTTATCAGAAGAATCAACTTTTATTAAGGAAACTGTGTCAACTGATATATTTTTAAGGAGCTACGCATCTGATCGCATTACATTTGACAATACTAGCTTACGTCCTTTGATTTTATTTTTACAAAAAGACAATAAAAAAATGCAAAAACTTGAATTAGTATCATCAGAGGACAATGTAATGCTGCCACGCTATCGATTATGTACCTTACATCCGGTCCAAACAGGGACACATAGCTCCTTAAAAATGCATCGGGAAGGAAAGTTCCTTAACAAAAGTTATTTCTTTTGATGAGATCTACCATCCCTTCAAATTTATCCCTAAGATCCCAAAACATCCCGTATAATAACTATAATTAAATTAAGCTAAATTAAGTTTATCTTACCTTTTGTAAGTTCTTTTTTTCTGCTGGCACAAAATTCCTGACGGGATTTTTTCGTGGATTCGCAAAATTTCTTGTCTTTGTCTTTTTTCGTAGACTGACAGGTTTGCGTCTTATCAGTAGTCTTTTTTCTCGACATACATTTAGCAGTACCTTTCATGCACTTTTTCTCAATTTCCTCCTTTTCCTTGATCTCACACTTCATTTTTGGTTTTTCACAAGACGGAGCCTGTCTTCGATCTTTATCATCTTTGCTGCAGCTAGCATAAAATCTCTTACTTATATTTATGCCGAGAATGATATCGGAAATCGAAGTGGAGAAAGATTTACGATCTCGCGGGACGAAGAAAATTGATTGTTTCGTAACATCGCTTGTTGAGTAATATCGCTTTCCGTCTACTTTGCTGCAGCTTTTATCACTAGTTCGGGAAGAATTTCTTTTGCGGTAGCTGTTAGATCGCTTTCGATTGTTTCCGGTGCACTTTCGCCGTTTTTTCTCACTAATGTTGCACTTCACGCGTTGCTTCTTACATTTTGATTCAAATTCATCCGTTTTTTTCATAGAATCCTTACAAACTGCATGTGATTCATCAGCTTTTTGGCAATCGTCACGTTGCTTATATGATTTTGATTGCCGTCCTGATTAAGATATTAAAGTAAAACATATAGTAAAAAAATAGAGATTAATGTCAAAATAAATTAATGAAGAAAGCATATAAAAACGCACAATAGATGGAAAAGGAAACAAGAAATATAGGAAAATTAGAGAAGGACAAATTAATACACCGTATAGAATTTCATCAAGATATGCTAAAGCTAAATACTAAATCATAATAATCGCAGCTAATGTTAAATTAGTATAATGATGAGAATAACAATAATAATTTTGACCTACTATTCTGAATATATAGTATGAGATACATCAATTTCAGATATTTCATGAGGTATCATGTGAATGTTGAATTAAATTTTAATATTTCTTAACAAGAATTATTACTATTATAACAATGATTATGTCGATCTGCGTTACTTTTATTACATCTTCTGTCAATATCTTGCTTTTGTGAACAACTAGGTTCTCTCGATTGCAGTGCGCAATCCTTTGATGAGATTCGTGCTTTATTCTCGTCGCACTTCCGACGAGTCTCAGGGCATCGTTCCTCCTTCCAAGTGCATGGCTTTGGTCGCCTCAGTTCGGGACATGTGTAATTTTTGTTGAGCTTAGGTTTTTTCTCTCGTTGTTCCTCACCCACGTCATTTGGAGACGAGACGCACGTGTCCTTCCGTCGCGTTTTCCCGCAGATCTTTTTACTTTTAATCTGGCAACGGCTCCTCGCAATCTCTTGAGAACACGCGTGATCTTCCTCGATCTCATCTTCGCATTTCGATCGTTGTGATTTATCATCCTTCTCGCAATCAACGGATTTTTTCGACTTTGAAGTGTCGCAGGAAAACGATTGCAGTCTCATCAGAGAAACGCGATCTGCGATTGTCAGTCTCATTAAATATCAATCGTTAATGTACTAACATTATAGTTGCAAACTAACTATAAAACGCTTTCCATTGAATTACTGTATGTACATATGTATATTCAAACAATATTAAATTGAGGATTATTTAAGGCTCTTGGTCATTCGCTACGAATCTTTGGACTGATGATGTCAAAGGCGTAGCAACATAATGAAAATTTTAAAATATATTAAAATAGGAACGTTCAAAATAAAAAATTTTTTAACTATATTAAATACATTAAAATAGAAATATTTTTGAATAAAACAATATTTGTGTTTCATAAAGTATTGTAAAATATATCGCGAAAACTCTTCTTTTATTTCGAAATATATAAATAAAATCATATTTATCTCAATTTGATAGCTGTAATACAGCTTACGCTTTGTTTTTTTGTTAGGTATAATTTAATTTCAAATATATGGTTATTTATTGATTATCAGAATACAAAGATATATTTTACAACTCTATTCTATTACAAATGTTGTTTTATTAAAAAATACTCACATTTTAATACAGTGTATTTTTCTCGCTTTGTCATGATCCAAGATAACTGTAGTGAACAGGCAGGAGCTTTAAACTACAAATTTAAAAAGTTAAGAATTATTGTATCTAGGACTTCAAGACACCTGGATGCGATCGTGTGTTTCTCAAACGAATAATCGATGTATTCGCGCTCTGATCATTTTTCAAATTTTCAAACTTTCGAATAGATTGCTGAATCACGGTGCAACTTTTTGAGGAGAAAATGCGACGCGGTACAGAAGGTAGGCACAACGAAGTCTTTCGAAATCCTTGATTTCCCAAACTTTCGGAGAAGGCCAAATAATCAAATCGAGATGATGTTTTCAATGTTTCAAATACAGATGGCAATGGCTTGGAGGTACTTGTAGGCGTTTGCAAAACGTATCGAGAAGTCTGCGAGAGATCTTTCCGCGTGTAATTCCGAAATTCTGGAGATTGCGATGAGTCATATTTTCGTGAATATTGATTATCCTGTAATTTGAACTGATTTCGCGACTCTTGCTGCTTGATTTCTAGCGTTTTTAATTCCGACTTTGCAGAAGACGAAGAATCCGAATTTTTCCTAGTGTTACAAATCGATAAATCATCAGTCGACTCTTGCTCGATTGTATGATTAATTTTGGGTTCTTGACTTTCTTGAAAAATGAACATTATTTTTGAAGCGCAATCATCGCAGTGGACATTACCAGATTTTATCACAGTATTGTCGTTATATATAAAATCAAAATTATCAGTTTGAATGTTTGAAAGCCTTTTGTAGTATTTATTTCTAGACACTGGATTTCCATCTAATGACTCTTTGTACTTAATGAGAGGTTTCAATATCTCTGGACGCGTTACTTCCGTAATCACTTTGGGAGGCAAAGGCAAAAAATACGTGGGCGATCGAGAACTGAAAGTTGTCATAGTGATTTCAGGTAAAGCCGTCCATGTAAAGATAGGTTCCAGATTATTGGAAACTGTTGTTAAATTAATTCTTCTGCTCTCACGAGCATTCTCTTGCTTGCGAGAGGAGTTGAGGAAATTTGAAAGACAACGTTTAAATGTATTCGTGGGCACGTACGTTTCACGCTAATTTGTATGTCGTAAAGAAAAATATTATTCAATCTATAAACACAATTGAATATTTTCTATTTAAAATAATTTTAGTTATCTTTATGTATTTATATCATATATTAATACTTATTATTTATTTTGCTATCTTTATATATTTTTCTTCTTTACAGATGAGTTTTGATCGATTTGATAGATTTTTTCATGTATCATTTTTACATATTATTTTCAATATATAATTTATTAAAAAAAATTGAGTACAAATTATCGAAACTTTTTAGAAACGTTATTACAAGACTTACTATCTTCTTGTTACATTATTTATAACCAAATTATTAATTTTTTACTAATTGCTAAAGAAAAGAGAGAATTGCTAAGAAGAGAGGTTAATTTTGTGGAATACCTGCAAGGATTTAGTGGGTAGAATATATGATAGATCATGTAATGTCCATATCCTGAATCCATTCATGTTTGTTCTTATTCATGTAATATTTAATCAAATTAGTTTAAAATTCGATTTACTTAAAATTTTGAGGGTTTGGAATAATACAAAAAATTTTGTTATAGATGTCAAGAATGGTTTGAAGTTTTCAGCACATCGCTCTGAAAGTAACATTGCATTCAATAATCGACGATCGATCAGCTATGTAAATATTTAAACGTCTGCTAATAAAATATCGCAAATCGAAAAACTTGAGAAAATTACATTTCCTAGACGACATCATCGGACAAGTCGAATATAAGTAATATAAATAAAATATTATTATTATTATTAAATATATATAAACAAGAGGATACTGTGTGTGACAATTTCTTTCTTTTAACGATCGAAAGTATCATTAACAAATATATCGGTTACAGAATTTTCTGACGATAAAACCGCATCATCTGTACTAGCGCCTTTGAAATCGAAAAATCTTATTACGCAGAAAAATCTGATCGGGCGTCGGTCGAATGTGTGTAATACAATATTTGCATTTGCTGCAGTTTTTAATGTAATGTAACGTAATGCTCGTCGCGCGAACGAGTTTAATGATCAGCGAACGTGACTCTACGCTTGCTGACGTTCGCTTTTCTTTTTTCACGAGCCTTGACCTTCTTCGGAAACACGAATTTCAAAGTCTCGAGATGTTCATTAGGTTCCTCCTTTACAAACTCTTCGCCATCTTGCGCGCTATCGTCGGACGTGGTCGGTTGCAACGAACTCCAAAATTGACTCTGTATACACGCAGTTACATTTATTTGCTATTAACTTTGATCATATACTTTATTGTTACATTTACTTTTAATTATAACTAATAATTAATAAGTTACAATTGCAATCTATAATTTGTAAATTCACAAATTCGTACTGCGATTATTATCGTACGAGAACGATTGCTCTTTACGTATTCCTATTTACCTGGCACTGAGAGGTGGAAGTTGGCTGGTTCGCATCCTGTTTTGATGGTCGCGCGGTATACGAACCTCCGTCCAACAGAATTCGCTCCTTGCTATTCTCCATTGATCGAAAATTGAGCGAAACGGATCCCACAACTTCGTCTCGTTATTGTCGCAAGCATGCACCTTCGAGATGCACAAGAATTAATCTTCGTATTTTCGAATCTTTGTATTTTCATGATTTAAATTAAATGAATTTATTAAGTCACAATATAAAATTAATGTTTTTCTTACCGATATAGCGTTCTTGAGAGTGGAAAATAGTCTTATTGAGTTCTTAAAAGTAAAAAATAATTTTTGTATAGTGTAGATGTTGTTTGTGTTCATGTCAACTTTAGATATATATATTTTATATAATAATTCTTTTCTCAGGAAAATTTTAGGTTTTTGTAACCAAAAAAGTATTTTGTCATCACGTTTCACATTGTGAAACAGATTACGATCGGTATTCCAGGACGTAAATTCTCATGATGTAAGGAGATATTTTCAATGAAAAAAGTACGACATAAATACGCAAGCATATTTGTAATTGTGAAAGTATAAAGCAATCATAATTTCTCGCGGGCAGAAAAGACTGAAAGTTTTAATATATAATTTTCTTAATTATTTTAATACGTGGCATATAATTTTTTTGTAATTATATGTTTTCTATTCGTCTTTGCTTATATTCCTAATATATTGCATATGCATTCACATTATCGCGTGTACGCTCTGTTTACGAAGAGCTGTTGTAATCAATGTAATCATCGCGTTGCACAGTACTGTCCGTTCAAGTCGAATACATCTACGAAGCGTTACTTAATCCATATAAGGGTGTTGGAGAACTTGGAACTTGGTCTACGTCGTTTCCGACCGCATTAACGAGCCAAGTTCCCGTTGTTGACGACTGATACTCGCGGGGAAGTAATTTAATCGTGCACTTCATTGCAGGCGGTGGAACGTAGTTAATGAGTAGAATCGGCAAAGCAGTTCGCCAAAGCATAAGTACGACGGCACGAAGTTGCACAGACAAGTTATAGGTATATCAAAAGGGGCTGCAAGGGGTTGAAAAAAAATCAGCAGTGCTTGCACATATCCTGCAGTAGTATCTCAATACTTACATTATATGATCATTAAAAGCAAATTTTTTTCAAATTGGCCTCAAGATTAATCGGTAAAAAGGACATTTATCTCTAACGGATTTATAACTTCGGTGATAATTCTTTAATAAAGTCATAGATCCAATTCATTCAATTTTTACAAATTAATATCGATTATTACGGCTATTATAAATAGTCCCTCATAGTAATCAATATTAATTTGTAAGAGTTAATTGGATGAATTGGATCTATGAATTTATTAAAAAATTATCGTCGAAGTTATATTCTTTACACGTTCGATCTATCAAAATCAATTCAACAGAATTTATTTTACTCGAGTATATTTCTACGTCTGACTGATTCAGTGCTCGTGATACGCGACGGCAATCAACTTTACTTAATGAATACCGTTCGCGCGAAATGAGTGCATTTCTCCACGGATGCCTCGAGTTCGATTAATCCGAAACAAAGTTAAAGTCAGGTGACGTCCAGTCGGCAGCGCGAGCGAGCGCAATCGAGCGAGTGCAAGCGGGTAACGTAATACGGAGTCAGACTACCTGAGTGATCTGACAGCCAGCTTGGAACAAAATCGGTCGACGCATCCGATCGTCCGGCATAGCTGGGTTTTACGAGGCAACATTAAATTACAAATAAATTTCACATAACACATCGAGCAGAAGCGTTACACAAATATGGTTGAAGAATAATAATATAATCTGGTATACAAGATAGCGCCTATACCCGCGCAATTAAACGATTGCACTGACGAGTATATCAATAACGAAATTACTAATTAATGTAAATAATATGACAGTAAATTAATATTTCATTATTTGTATATTATGTTATATATTGCATGCTATATATATTCAGAGAAATTATAATAAAAAAATAGTAATAAATAGTATTAATTATCAACGTATTCTGTGTTACTAAAAATATTATTAGTTGTTATAAAGAATTAAAGCACATCGACCAATGTTACATATTTCTTTTCATATTCAATGATTAAAATCTTAATTTATAATTTTGCTGGTTGCTAATTTTATCTACCTTAAAATTCAGGTTTAAGTTATTAAAATTACTTTATTACACATTTTGTATGATGCATATAATATATATGCATATTATAATGTATTATCACGCAATGGCTCGACCGAGAAAAGCCGGGTTTCATTGGAGCATGCTCTGTGGAAGAGACAAACGTCAGCGGCGAACAGATCGATTATTCGCGTCCATGGAAACCACAGTTGGACCAATGCGAAGAGGCTATTCTCCTTTTTGGACAGGCGCATCTGCCTTTTCCACCCACGCGGCTTTAATTATTGTATTATAAATAATTTATATATATATATATTATATCTCTCTATAACTTTTCAGTGCCAAGTATGTGTGTCTTACTATTATGTCTTTTGGATACTATCATATATGTATATATCTTATTTTATTTTATTGTTTTATGTTAATTTAATTGTTATTTTATGTAAAGTATTCAAATAAAAGAATTTCATTAAATACAGTTAATTGTCAATTAAATGATTACTTTAAGAGAAAAAAATTTATGTATTATGTACTTGCACATAAATATATATACATACATATGTATATATATTTATGCAAGTATATTATACATAAATTTTTTTCTCTTAAAGTGATATATGTATATATTATATATGTCATAGTAAAGGTGTAAAATTTAGTAAATATAGATATTCACTTATTGGAGCAATATATGTATTTACTAAAATGTATGTGTTTATACTGTGATAAACGGCTCACACATGTGTTTATACTTTTACTAATGTGTTGTAGCAAATATATTTTCTAGTAAATAAATACGTTTGCTAGAAATAGACATTCTTATATTTAGGTGATACGTTTGTCAAACTCTTACGTATATACATACATTGATTAAATTTAGTAAGTGTATATCTTTACTAAATTTAAAGCTTTTATATTAGTCATATATAGACACACATATATAAAACTATATCAAAATTATAATTTATGTTAATTTGTCTATTAATTCACATGAGCACATTAATACTAACGTATTAATTAATAAAATACAGGGTTGGTAAAAAACATTTTAAACGTGTTTTAAACAGTTTAAAACATGCTAAATTGATGTTTTTAATATGTTTTAAATATGTTTTTTTATAGTATTGTTTAAAGCATATTTGAAATATTAAAAACATATTTAAGAAGAAACACAGTATATTTTATTCTTAAAAAAAAACATTAGTCTTTACCAACCCTGATAAAATATAAATTGTAATACATGTAAGTTGAATTGTATTATGTTACAATAAAATTGAAAAGAGACAAACAAAACCGCATTAAACCAGTGTATACGCGTCGTACAAGAAAGGGAAGAAGGCGGAGCCATTTCTCTCACCCTTCGACGAGACTTCCTTGTTGTTTGCATAACTCATAAATCCCGATAGAGCATGGGCACAAGATATGATGCAAAAATGCCACGTAATCTACTGCCGTTCGTAGGCGTGAGTATCGGAGCAAGAGCTATAGCCACACTCGGAAGCGCATAAATCTTTCGGTATAACTTCCGGCTTTCCTGTCCTCGAGGTCTCATCGAAGGAAAAAATGATAGCTAACCTTTGGCTCAATTGAAAACGTGTTTCTTTTGAACGCTTGTCTGATTTTAAACGTATTAGCAACATGTACAAGAACATCATTTATATAAAAATTTACGTAAATATGTACATTTTTAATGCATGATAACTTTATGCGATTCTATATATAACAAATAAAACAAGAATTGTAATATAATAAAGTAAAACAGAAACTTATTTTTATGCAACAAATAAGTATCATCATAGTGGTCGAATTTGTATGAATGTGAAATTATATTGTAACTTTTGACATATAATATCATACATTCATACGTATTTTATATTCCATATAAAATTACAATTTTACATGATGTACGCTATGTTCTCAAGCTTTAGTATGCAATTATAATTTGGCACATAATTATTGTCACTTCAATCATTATCCTCGTTATACCTATAAGTAGACAT